TCTCATATGTGATCATTTTGCGTGTAATTATTTTCATTCAAATTTGTAATTATTAAATAAAACTTATTAAGTACTAAAATAATCTCTCCAACAAAATCTTAGCAGGTTATCCATTAAATTTTATGCAAATAATGTACATTTTGCAATGAAACAACTTCTGGACTTACAAGATATTAAGTAACTTTTTGTTCGAATTTTCGAGAAAGTTAGAAACAAGCAACATAAAGTTCCGGGGATAACATTACAAAAATATACCAGGATAATTTGTGAACATTGATCTAGGCCGCGACCCCTCCACCCATCAGTTCATGACCAGATAATGATCACGGGGAGTTGAATCATGCTATTATATTGTGTTGGACAAACGAAATAGAACTGTAATCCCTTGCATGAGTATAGAACAAACACGACACTTTGTAAATAAAACAAATCTGTATCACCAAATCGTCATTCATTTTCTATATCAATAAAGCCGCATTCAACAGTAATTCCGGACGTGACATTTTGTCGGGGTTTTTATCCAGTATTTACAAAATTAAAATGAGTTTTCTTTCTTTTGTTTTTACGTTATTTATATTTACAGCATAAATTATTATTGACATGCAAATTTGTATTACTCTTGACAAATTTTGTATTTTACGAATCGTAATTCTTGAAAAAAAAAAAAAATTTGAATCAATCTTCGAGAATTCAATAGGTGTAGAGGTTAAACATCATTAAAGAAATATTGTTTCAGAAAATTCAGAAAGTACTCGTTATCATTCGTGAAGGATTTCATGCTTAATAAACAAATAATTTATCAATAATACCATTTCAATAAAAGATATATTAGCGTGAGAAAAAAAAAATGGCATGATTCGCGTTAATAAAAAAATTTACTTTCGTGTAAACTTTAATGCCGATAATTTAGTTTAGTCATCTAAAAATCTTCCAAAGGCCTAAATTTCCCAACACGAAAAAAAAAAAAGATCTTAAAAATCATGAAATATTAAATAAATGATAAATATTTGTAAAAAAAAAAATCGTGACATATACAAATATTTGTACAAAATAAATTTCGATTAATTATTTTTACCACGAAAAAAAAAAATTAAACACAGCATAAATTATGAGATTTCGTGTTTTTATTTGCATTCAAAATAATAAAATTTTCAATTACATTAATTGGCGTCATGCTTTGCAGCAAAAGTTAATTAATTTTTCCTAAACGGTCTTAAAGATATGATGAAATGATAAACAATTGCAGATTTTCTCCGAGTAATCAGCGAGTTGAGCAATACGAGCTGAGCAAGAAAAATTGAATTAATGAAATTTCCTTTCTCGTCCGTTTTCTTTTCTCTTGTTTATATTGCACTAGCGCACAATTTCATTATTAGGACTAAATCCATTATCGGATATTTCTCTTCGGGGAATTATCGAATTATTAATTTTCACGTGTTCCTCATCAAAATAATTCAGCTCGTTTTAAATCTCGATTGACTGCGGGAAAATTGTTATCGTTGGTGAAACGCTGATAACGCGGATGATATAATTGTGATTTGTACTACCGATTACTCTTTTGGTACCGGAAAATAGTTAAATATGATAGACATGACCAAATTCTAATAAGGATATCTACTAAATATAACAATGGCGTACAGAAATTCCGATTTGATTTCTTTTTTTGGGGTCTCGGTCATTCATGAGTAATCATCTGCACGCTTAAACCGAACACAACATTTCATTGCATGGTAAAGGAGAATTTGGTTTACGAAAGTGATTGATGATCATCTCGCGTTCTCTTTTTCGAATTGTCTGACTTGCCTGACTTTACCTAACACGAACCGCGTAACCGCGTATATCTACGGACATCTCTCGGTTTTCGGCAAGGGAACCCGATATCTCTCGGGAGAATTCTCCATGAAAATGAAATCCAAATCATTACGAATCTTTTCATATGATTCACGCCATAGTCTCGATCAGAATATCGAAAAACGTGGGAACATGTTCGGCAGTATCCGTTCCATTTACACAAATAAATTCATTCATAGTGCATACGTGATTTCTTTCAGGAAAAAATAATAGCGTTTAATTTTTGTTGTGTATCATGAAATGACAAAGAAAACTCGAGCCATGAAAATTGTGTAATTCAATTTAAGTTGTACCTTATGGGGTTGAGATATATTAGGTTGGAAAGTTACAAAAAAAGATAACGATAACGTCAAAAGATCAAATTTAATAAAAAAATTTACGCGCGATAATGCGCGTCGATCATGGGAATATGAAAAAATAATCAATCAGCAAAGATAAGTAAACGCAATATGATTGGACAATTGAAAAATCTGCAATTCGAATATTTATTAAAAGATTAAATCAAACAACTTTTCTTATTATGAATGTTACAAATTACAATAAGACTTGGACAAAATTTTTTATTTCCGTAATTTCCGTAACAAATGAAACCTCTTTATGTTCATTGCTGGGATTTTCAATTCTTGAGATCATTAATCGCTCACGCTTAACATATTTACCGAAATATTGGAAAAAGATAATTTTTAAATTTTGATAAAAAGTCATTTGATTATCTTTTTGACGTGAAGATGGCAAGGGTGTGAACATTTACCTTTTTGGATGAATCGTTAAACTTTAAGCTTCTAGAATATATATAACTTTTAAACGAAACAATGAAGTAACGCAATCGGGATAACACGATCACACGTGAGATTAATAAAGAATGTTTTAAATTCCCAAGCAGGTATCAACGATTTCATGAGGAGTAAAAGATTTTCAATATATTCATTTCTCTCTTTTTTTTTTTTTCCACTTGTTTTACAATTTCTTTTTCAGGAAATATTTCTTATCTCAGTGACACAAAAATAATATGGAGTACTATAAAAATCTGATGATCAGATTAATTAAAAAAAAAAAAATTTCTGTTTGTAAATAATCTTTACTCGGGGAATTCTCTCGGTTCATCAATCAATTTTTTTCATGTGGGCAAAAAAATAAAAAATCTTTCGTATCAAGGCGGACAAATCCGAAATTTCAGACAAAGAAAATAATTCTGGCTAGATTTTGAGTTTTTGGGGTTTAGTATTTTATTACCTTTCTTGGAATTTGAATAATTCTTTACTATTTAAATACTAAATAGACAAATGTAGTGTTACCTAATCTACATGTTTTTTATGGAGTGAGAATTTAGGAATAATTACTAAAGTAGGAAATTCATATTCTTTTGAACGCAGGATCAAATCTATTCGGCAAAATCCGTCTTCCCACATATTCCACATATTCTGTATAGCTGCGCTATGGTAACTTCCAGTTTATGTCATGACTTTATGAAAGTGGTTCGAAAGAAATTAGCTCTTTTAATAAATGTCCATGAAATATTATCGGTTCCAAGCTCGCTTATTTACTATTCGTAATCTTCAATTATAATCTCAAATAATTAAACTTTTGCGTGAGAATTAGAAAAAGAATTATTACCAAATATTTCGGAAATACACGGGGAAATTGTGTTAAAAGATAGAGAATAAATCATTGTACAATCTCGTATGTAGTGTTATTTACTTTTTTTTTTTGGAAACAAGTATGTTTGATAAGAAAAAATGCCTTTATATAGTTAGAGATGATGTGCAAAACGCATTTGTTTGCCACGGGCAAATTTGGATCCCTGTAAATCATGTTTGATTTTGGTTAATTCGAGTAAAATCCGAATCAGATCAAACACACTGTTTTAATTGGGCGATAATAAACCAAAAAAAACTTTATCAAAATAGGTAATTTCTCAAATTTCCCGGTAACTTTGCGATTCGACAAAAAGAAAAAAAAAAAAAATGCTTGTAAAAGTGGAAATTAGATCTTGCATAAAACAAACAAGGTAAAGTTATTATGACGTACGATCTTTTATTATAAACTTTGTTTACGCAAAAGAGAGATTCTATATACCGGAAAAGGTGTGTAGTTAGACTCGTGGGGGGTTTCAGAAGGATCGGCACATGTTTCCGAAAAAAGATAAAAATCAATTGACATTTGTCAAATAATTAATTTTAAGTTATTGTGGTTGAATAACTTTGTTATCAAGAATTTAAGTAGAGTACAATGAATATCTCTTTTGGATCCTTTGCAGTATCTTGACATTTGTTCGATAATTTCACGTATACATTTCTCATATGAACTTGCGAATATTTTATTGCGATAAACGATTATGTGCAACTTCAAAAAGCGATAAGCTAAATACGGTATGAACATAAGCAAGTACTTTAAGAAATGTAACGATATGATAAAGATGGCCTATAGGGTAAATTCCGTTCTTTCATGAAGCTTTACTTTTGATGTTTGTTAGATTTTGAGTGACATTTATCTTGATTTCTTTACCTGTCGATTGCTTTTGCTTAATTGTTTAATTGTTTACACATTTCTCACCCTTGGAGGTTTCTTTAACATAAATTCTTTTCATAAATATTTCCTGCAAATAATTTTAAAACTATAGATACTTATCCCAACAAATATCAAATCTTTAAAATAAACGAACGTTCACGCTTTTCAATTTTATTAATTTTAATGTATACATTTATCTAGTCTTATCAGTAATCTTTCCGCCCATTGATCCCATATATTAAGTTACACCGCAAAAGGAAAAAAAAAAAAGATCTTTTTCACGGTTTTCGCCATCGCATTACTTTTTTTTTTATTTATACATTCAAACTTTAAAAATTTTTTTTATTTATAATATATATATTAATAAATTATATGATATTGTATTGTTTATGAGAAATTTACTGTATTTCGTTTCTATCGATTGTAATAATAAAATTCATCTATGACAAACCTTTTTTTTTTTTTTGGTACTTTAAAACCAAAAGATATAAATAAGCACCATATCTCTTCCAACCAACAATTCAACAATTCTTTTAAAAAAAAAAGAAAATAAGAAAATAATTTCACTGAGGGAAAAAAATATCCTTTACGAGTTATCAACGAATAATTCACGAATTGTATTTACCAAACGATAAAACAAAATGGCCGACCCTACTACAACTCCTCCTACCGTTGAGGATCTTGCTGAGCAAATAAAAGCCTTGGAACATCAAGGAGATATTGCATGGGTCCTAATGTCAACCGCTCTTGTATTTCTTATGATTCCGGGTGTTGGATATTTCTATTCTGGCATGGCAAGGAGTAAAAATGCTTTATCCCTTATTATGCTAAGTTGTTTATCCGTTGCTGTTGTAATGGTTCAGGTACATTCACTATTTAAATTTATAAAGTTATTCATTTTTTTTTCTAAATTAAAAATAATAATGTTCATGATTTTCCTTTCATAAAATGTATAGTGGTGGGCCATTGGATTTAGTTTAGCATTCGGAGAAAGCAAAAATCATTTCATCGGAAACTTACAACATGCCTTCTTCATTGGTGTTGGAAAAGAACCACTTAACGGCGTTGTTAACCTTCCAGGAATCGTTTTCGCCTTATATCAAGGAATGTTTGCAGGAATAACTCCCGCTCTAGCGATTGGATCTGCCGCAGAAAGAGGTCGAATTGTACCTGCAATCTTATTCATCTTTATCTGGTCAACCTTGGTATATGACCCAATCGCTTGTTGGACTTGGAACGCTGAAGGATGGTCTGCTAAGATGGGTGGTCTCGACTTTGCCGGAGGCACGCCCGTCCATATTGCTTCCGGAGCAGCCGCTCTTGCTTATTGTATTATTGTTGGAAAGAGGCATGGACATGGAACCGATGAATTTAAGCCACATAACGTTGCAAATGTTGTTCTTGGAACTGCTTTACTTTGGTTTGGTTGGTTTGGTTTTAACGGGGGTTCGGCTTATGGAGCTAACGCACGTGCTGGCATGGCCTCAGCCGTCACATCCTTATCAGCTGCTGTTGGTGGATTAACTTGGGTTTTATTGGATTATAGACTTGAAAGAAAGTTGTCGGCTCTTGGTTTCTGCTCCGGAGCTGTTGCAGGACTTGTTACAATCACTCCAGGTTCCGGTTTTGTTGGACCTTCATCTGCCGTCGCTTTTGGATTCTTGGGTGGTGTTTGTTGTAACTTTGCTGTTAAATTGAAGCATATCTTTGATTTTGATGACGCATTGGACGTTTTCGCTGTTCATGGCGTTGGTGGTATCATTGGTAATTTTCTCACTGGTATCTTTGCTCAAAGTTCAATCATTCTTCTTGATGGACAAGAATTACCTGGAGGTTGGTTAAATGGACATTGGATACAATTAGGTCATCAAGCTGCTGATTCGGTTGCTGGGTTGAGTTATTCATTTGTGGTCACATACATTATATTATTTACCATGGACAAAATCCCTGGACTTTCTCTTCGAGCTGATCCAGAATCTGAAGCCAGAGGGTTGGATGAAACCGAATTAGGGGAATTAGCTTATTATCATGTCGACAGGCTTATTTCTGTCAATACTCGAACTGGTGAAACTAAAACCGTCAAAGAAGAAACTATTCACCAACAAAATGACACAAGTGCGACAATTGTATAATGTCATAAAAAAAACATTTATTTGAAATTTTTTCTTTTTAGCATAGCACAATAATCATATAAAATACACATTACATTACAAAAAAAAAAAAAAAAATTAATGTGCGTTTTGAATTTTATTTATTTATTTTATCGAAAACCAGATTCATTGCTAGATTTTTATTTTCACGAATGGGCTTTTTTATTTTCAAAAAAAAGAAAAATATAAATATGTCTTATTTTTTTTTTTTCACAGTTAAACCATTATCACTAAATATTTGTATTTATATTATATTTTATATTATATATATGTTGTATATTCCTTCCTCCCTTATTTTGTGATGTAAAAAATTTCGATTTCTTTTTTTTTTTTTTTGGATTTATTTAATGGATGGTTTACTTTTTTGATTGGGAACTGTTACACGCGTGGGAGTGGGGTTTTTTTTAAAAAAAAATTTTTTCACTATAGCAAAAAAAAAAAAAAAAAATCCAAAAAGTAAATAAAAAAATAAAGGTACCACCAAATGAGTGGATAAATTTCAAAAAGCCAAAATAATTTTTTTTAATGAAAGTGTCAGAAAATTTTTTTATTGAATAAATAAAATTCATGCATTTACTACGCCATTCAAGGTTTAATTCGCGTACACATAAACTTTATTTGTGTTAAAGTTTTAAATGCTGCTGCATTTTGCTTCCGAATCCATTTTCTTTGAATCAAAATAGCAGAAAACTTATTTTTAGTTTTACTATATTAATAACGTTAAACTTAACCGGAATGACAATGTATTTAATATTCTAAAAAAAGGAGACCCATAGACGCTTTTACGCACTTTTACGCACTTTTCCTAACCTACATAAATCTCATCCATTTCTAAATGCCTAATACAGAAAAGCTTTGAATCTAGCTGTCACTTTACCTAAACATCTGATGTTTTAGTTGGATCTAATTCAGCAATTATGAAAGCTTTTCCATCAACTTTCGGGATATGCTAAAATTCTTTTGAATATTCTTCCGTAAAAAGAACGGAAGCAACATTCATATCAACATCATTATATGTGACGAGTTTTTAAACTCCTAGGATTGTAGATATTTAATCAGATTCAGATACATTTTAAGTCTTTGCGGAGTTTCTATTAAATTTCTTGAAGCATCATACGATAAAAGTTACGCTATGATTTATGATTTATAAATTACAAAAAATTGCATTACCTACATGTATTTAACATAAAATATCAATATAATATTTCTTAGTTAACAAAATAAAATTTTCTAAAACAGTTGTTTCTTGTATAAGAGTTTGTACTATATTATACAAAGGTACTTATCCTAGAATTTGATAACGATCGTTAAAAAAAAAAAAAATAATAATAGTAATAATTTAAAATAATTAATAAGGCAAATAAGTAAGTGTAAAGAGATTTTACCTCTAAAATCAAAATTGCAGTAACCAAATTTTTATAGAATTATTTGGCTTTCTTATTCACTTTTTTTTTTGTACATTTTATTTTACATATCAAAACTTTTTATTGATTTTTTACTTTTCTCACTTTACATTTTTTTTGAAATTTTTACCTTATCTAAAATATGTATTATTATTTTTTACAAATTTATAATTTAAAGGTAAAACTTTCATATTATAACATCATCCTTTTTGTAATATAAGCAATTATATCAAATAATATAATACATCTAAATTTAAGAGATAAAAAGTAAAATTATTAATTTTTATATTTTATATATATTTATTTAAAACTAAACTATAGTTATATTAGATTATTAATATTTCACTTTATTTTAATTTGAATTTAAATTTTTATATTAATTACGTTTTTAAATTATAAAATGTATTATTATTACTATATAAATTTATAGAAAATACATACAGTATATTATTAACAATAGTGTCTTGAATATATTATTATTCTTATTACTAAAGATAAATAATATATTGCTTCATTAATTTATTCAGTTATTTTTCTGAAATAGACAAATATATCAAAAGAAATACACTTTTCTTCTGCTAATTGTTTTTTCTTTAAATATATAAATTGAAGAATATTAAGAAAAAGGTTAATTTTTAATTAATATTAAAATGATAATATATTTACTTTAAAATTTCATAATTAATTAAATAAAGTTTTAAAAGCTTTTATAAAATCTTATTAGTAAATTTATCAGCAAATTATGTTTTAAATGTAAAACATTCAATATAAATAAAAATTTATAGAATTTTAAATCTATCTTAAAGATAATGCAAAAGATTAATATAAAAAATTAAGAAATAACTAAGAATTACAAAGTATTAATGATAATATTAATTTTATAAATCTTTATATTATTATTAGTTTAATTAATAATAATGCATTATATATTAATTTTTAATAAGTTAAGAAATGAAATTCATAAAATAAGAAATATTACTTTATATTAAATTTTAATTCTAAAGAAAATATTATAATTTAAGATATTTATATTTGTTAAAATTTTAATTATTTTAGACTAAGATTGCTTATTATTTAAACTTATTTTGAATTTTATAAAATTATCAAACATTTAATTTGCTAATTTTTTATCAAATTTTAATATAATTTCACTATTTTTATAAGCTTTAATATATCTTTACATATTTCTAAGTTTTATTTTTTAATAAAATTTTACTAAATTTACTTTTTATTATTTAAATAACTTATAAAATCTTTAGGTTGTTAAATAACCTTATTTTTAAATAGAATTATTTTTACTATTAATATTTAACATTCATTTTATAAACTTATTTAAGTTTCTAGATTTATAATTTGATTTATATATAATTAAAAAAATTGATTAATCAGATGCTTTCAAAAAAAAATTAATTATATGATGATTTTTATATAAATAAGTTAGAGTTAAAAATATTAGTTTAAACATCCAATTTTATATTACTTAAAAAATTGATTCTAACTTTTTTTCAATTCTTTTAATATTTTTAACTATAACTTTATATGATTTTAATTTAGAAATATTTAAAATTAAAATTATAAATTTAGTAAAAATTATGATATTATTTATTTAATTAATAAATTAATACATTTTAAATAGATAAATATAAATAAGATATATTATAATTTAAATTTATATTTAAATTATTAAAATATAGGATTAGATTTACTAAAATGTTTAAATATTATATTTAAAATTATATTTTATTTACAATCTATAATAGATATAATTATTATAAAAAAAGTAATTGATAAAATTTTTCTCTATTTTTTAAGAAAAATAATGATATTAATTTGAAAAATATTAAAATTAATTTTAATAAAGAACTGTTAAGCTTATAGTTAAATATTATATAATAAATAAAATTGCAAATTTGTTTTATTACAAATTAACTATAGATATAATTTTTATAAATTTTTCAAAAGAAGAAAAAAATAAAATTAATTATATTATTAAATTTTAATTCTAAAAAAAATTCTGAAAACTTATTTAATTTTAACTAATTTTTTAAAAAAAAGGTAAAAAAAAGTAAGTTTAAATTATTAAAAAAATATCACAAAAAAATCTGAAAAAAATTAAAATTTTAACTTTTTTTTCATCTAAATTTTTGAATTTACTAATATTAATTAAATCTAAATAATAAAAAATTTAAAAAAACAAATTATCTTAAATTTAGATTTCTTTTTTAATTTTCTTTACTATAAAAATAGTATTAATACTTATTAAAATATCTAGTAAATATGATTCTACTATAAAAAATAATAGCAAAAGAAAAATTTATATAATAATTAACAAATAAAATGAGACTGATATAGCTAAAAAAAAAATAGTAACAGATAATAGTTAAATTATATAAAATTTTTATATAATTATAATTAAAGATGATCATTGCAATTAAAAAAATAGCATAATTGAGTTGCAACTTGTGACGCAATTAAATTTTCTTATAGTATAATTAAGTTGCTACTTAATTGAAATTTGAAAATAATTATAGAGATCATCATTAATTATAATCATATATATATATACTCAATAGTAAATGATATATAATCATATTTATATAATTTTTGATTATATAACTATTATGATTATTAATCATAAAATAATGTCATAGTTATATAACTTTACTAATTAAATCTTATTTTATACACATTAATTATATATTATATTTTATTTTAAATTGCATTTTTAATTTAAATATCATTTTGTATTTTATATTTTCACTAAATTTTTTTAAAAATAATAAGATAACAATATAATTTTCAATTATATTTTATGTTAATAAATCCAAAATAATTTTACAAATACTATAGTTAAAATTGTTAAATAAAATCTAAAAGTTTTACAAATCATTTTAAACAATAAAAGATAAAATTTAGTAAAATTATATTAAAAAATCTACAAAACTTTAAAAAGGTAAAACCATATTAAAGCTTATAAAAATGTGAAACTATATTAAAATCTTAATAAAATTAGTAAACCTAAAGTTTAAACATTTGCCAAATCTAAAATAAGTTTAGATAAATAATCTTAACTATAATTATATGTAATTTTTATATAATTAAATACAGTAATATAAAAGTGGTTTAAACTAAACCTAAATATTATGCTATAAATTGTATATATTTTTATTGCAGTCATTTAATAAAATATCTAAATTTTTATAAATATGTTCATAATAAAAAAAATGCAAAAGATTCTAGCTTTATTAGTATTAAATAATGTTTTATACAGATTTAAATTGATTTAAATTTAATCTAATTTGACAAATCAAATTTTGATTAGATTTATCAAATTCAAATTCAAATTCAAATTTGATCTAATCTATATAATTTAAATTCTAATTTAAATTTAAATTTAATTTATTAAATTAGAATTCAATTTTAAATCTGATTAATTATTTACTATTATTTTTATTAAATAATTATTATTATTTAATTAGAATTATTCTTCTTAAATGATTTATTTTTGTTTAATTAGAACAATTTACAGTCAACTCTTTCTACAACGAATTTTGATATAACGAATTTTACAATACAACA